CGACATTACCGCCATCGTTGGTTCGGTTTCACGGGGCGAGCGGAGTGGGTGGTGCCATGGAATTTGGATGGAGAGGGGCGGGTACGGCACACTTGATAAGCAACGGCAGCTGGAAAAGCGCCGCATGTGTGGACCAAAAGCTTCCGCTTGAAGGCGGACGAGGAGTTGGCCGTTGGAAAATGGAAAAGGAAATTGAGTGTGTGTAATGCGTACTTATGGCGCACATTTTAAATGAAATTTTCACTGGCACTATGCTTCCTGTCGCTTGTCTCCTGTCTCCTGAATCGCCGCTTCCTCTTCCCCTTCCCTTCATCCACACATAGGTATACCCTATATCCTGTTTCCCCCGATATCCTGTATCCCTAGCTTCCGCTAAGCAATTTCGATTGGATTGAAGTGCGGCATGCGAGCAACAGGTGGCGCTGCTTCAGGACACACCTCGAGTGGGCTGCATATTTTCCCTGCTTCCGCTCGTATGGTTCCACATATTTGCCTGCCTTCCTTCCTATATATATATATATGTATATGTAGTATATATCTTTCTTGCCTGTCCCTTCTCTTTTTATTAAATTCGTGCCTGTCTGCTGGGCCAAGTCGAGGTCCTGGCCAGGAGCTTATTCCCGCCAGTGGGAGCCGTAGCTCGCCTCCTTCCAACCTTGGCCCCACTGCAGGCACAATTCATTTTTCATGTAGTCTCGAGGAAAAGCACACGGAAAATAGAGCGAGAGAAGGAGCTGGTGGCAGGAGAAATATAGCCTGAGCTGTGTCTTGGTCAAATGCAATATTAATTGGTTTAGACTGGAAACAACTGGGCTTAAATTGCTAAATAAATTAACAATATTATATTATAAACAATGAAGGAAAAAGTGCCTGTTGAACTTTAATAAAATAATTTTTATATTGGCTCTATCTTTAATAACAAAGGAATGAGAAATGAATTTAAGAAGTTAAAGTGATTTTTAGTTTGTTTTTTGTTTTTAACTTAAGTTATGTAACATATTTCTTTGTTGTTATAAAAGTTGATATTATAAATGGCATTTTAAAATCAATAATAAATATTTTTGTTAAACTCCGCTTAAAGATTTTATCACTCTTAGTGCTCAACATCACGGACAGGTGACAGGTGACTTTTGTAAAATAAATCAGACATGCCTAATATGTCAAAAATGAAACCATAATATTAATTTAACAATATTTTTCTCGATAAAACAAGTTTAAGACAAACAGAAACTCCGTTCATTTAACCCCATAAATCCCATTCATAGCTCTCTTCCTTTTTTCAATTCATTGAAGAACATGATGAATTATTGATATAAATATGTAAAATATTCCTTACTTTTTTTTTGGCAAACTAATTACTTTTTTGTGCAGTGTCTCTGTGTCATATATATTGTCACAATGCGACAAATTCCGAGCTGCAAATTCCAGCACTCCACTCCATCTTTCTATGGCCATGTTTGTTGTGTTTCCTTGTGCTCATTTGCACTCAAGTCGCGTTCTGCCGCCTGCCATCGCCATGAAAAATAAATTTGTCAACTTGCAGTTGCATTCGCAATTCCCCAGCTTTCCCACCGCCCCCCGCCCCACAGCCTGGAAAACCACGAAAAAAGAGCAACGTGAGCTTCATCTGTTCATCTGTTCGCCAGCTTGTTAGCTTTTCGCCGTCAGCGGCTATTACACATTTCATTTTATTGTCACGTACGCAGTGTCTCTTTATGGCTCATATACCCCTCCTCCGACGATTCTCCTATTCTCCAATTCTCCGTTTCTCCGATTTCTATGGACTAGGAGCCATATATAGAGCGTTTACAGTTGTCTCGCCAGAAACCGACCAGAATCGAACGTCGAAGGTTATTAACTACGGCTGGGTGTGGCCTATGAATTTAAATCGCTCTTTATGCCAGTTGTAAATTTAAGTTTTCTCGCTCGAATCCAGTTTTCATTCATACATGAATTTCCACCAGAGTTACGTCACTTAATTGATGGCACACAACGGAAATTTTAATTACATCAATGGGCAGGCATATTAAATATCAATTAGGTAATTTCCAAGTGCAGTCTATGAAGTAACCAAATATTGACTCACAAGGTTCAAGTGTCGATTTGTCTGCCTTTTAAGTAATTAATTATCTGGCCAAAGTGCTTGTTTTGTGGCCAAGAAGTGAAAAGTTAAGGAGATTACTTGCTTTAATTACAAACGAAAACTGGATGGGTTAGTCTATTACTTGTTAAAAATAAATAAGTCAAAGTAAATAAAACATTAATCTTAAGCTAAAGGAAATAATTCTGCACTTAAAGGCTGACTAACTTTTAAAATCAAAAGCGTAAAGTAGAAAGAATAATGGAATTCCTTATCCTAATTGCAATGCCATTTTCCTGTAGGTACAAATACTAAAGGAAAACCTGACAAATCTGCAGCTGCATTTAACTGCTAATTAATTATTAGCCACCTAATGGCCATCAAGAGAAGAGTCAAAGAAATGCTGCATTTAAATTGCAAATGCAGTGGGGAGAAAAAAAACAGTTTCAGTTAGGAAAAACTATAACTGTTGTAGTAATTTTGCAGCTGCCTTTAACTACCGCTGCTCATGCATTCTGAATGGCGATGAAGGAAAAACTTTGTCATTTAATTCCGTCATTCGTTTACCAAAAAGAAAAGTCTTCCCGAAAGTTGGCCAAAGGGAGAAAGAAGTTAAAAAGAAAGCGGCGAAAACATTTGCTCTTTGTTACCAACAATTGAAAAACACCTGAAAAAAGTTAACTCCTGTTTAAACTTTGCGTTCGGCACGAAGCCAATTAAAATTCTATGGAATGAATTAGAGTGCAGGCAGCATCCACATTCGCGTCGCACTAATTCACTTTGCAGTTTCATCTTTTAGTTACTTATACCTTCTCCGTTTCCATCTCCGCCAGCCGTGGAAAATAGTTTTCCTTTCCTTTTCCGCCGCCCTTTTTCGGTGGCCATCGAGAAGGATTACACGGAGCTGAGCAAAGTCAGGTGCAGGCAGTGCAGGAATATATATATATCTGTAGACAGAAAAGGAGCAGACTTATTGCATTACTTACGCTAAATAACCACTTACAAAGTGGCATTAGACGGCGGAGATGAACACGGCCAACTGATCCAGATGAGGTAATGAAGGCGATGATGTTTCTGCAGGGAAACTTCTCATTAAAGGTATGCCATGAAGATACTACCAACAGGTAGGGATAGTTCTCGCCACCCCTCAAATGAATATGAGCTGGGGAAATGCAAATGGAATGCGGGAAAAACCAAGGAGGCGTGCTCGAAATATGCATTCCAATACTCGAATCATGAATCTGTCTGTGTACTTGTGGCTGCAAACTGCAACTGTGTGCGGTTAAACAGGCATACGAAATACGCATATGTAAAGGGAAGGATCTCGACGTGGAAAGCCCGGAAAATCGCCCTCTGTGAGTTGGCTGTCTGGTCCTGGCTTTGATTGAGTTTCCACTGCATGAAATTCGCATTGAGGGAATTGTTTTCCTCGCTGTTTGTTCAAAAATTTAAAGACTTTTCTTTTCCCTTGCTCTGATTTCTGTTTGTTCTTCAGGCTTTGCCAGGCAAGAGCTTTCAACTGGAATGTTTGAATAAAAGTAAATTAAAACAAGAGCCGCAATTAAGAGCTAGTTGCTTGAAAATGTGGATACTTCCATAAATGAATTGCCTAGGGCAGAAGGGGAAAACAGGTTCTTTGTTTGCCTCTCGATGGCTTTGGAGATGTGTAGGTATTAAATTGTCCATTTTCTCATGTAAATTTCGTGTTCAAAACCACTTGCCTTGGCCCCTAAATAAATCTTCAGACTATGCTCGAGTTATTGATTGTGTGCTTAATCTGCTTATTCTACATTCTCGAAAACTTAATAGGGGTCTTAACACAAGTTTAAGGTGGCCAGTGCAGCGTTTATTAAACATAATTATGCTTAAAACAAGACAAGATAGTGATGACTGACTGTTTAGCCTTAACAAATTCAATTCCTTAGTCTATAATTGATTAATTTCCATGAATGTTAACATGTTTGAAAGTATCTGATAACCAGCAACCGCTCTAACTTCCAGCTGAGTTTCCCTGCCCAACTATTTCCCTACTCCTCCTCGAGGATTTGCATTTGACTGCACTGCGAATCTGCCGGCGAGGCTAGTAAGGCTCGGAAATCTAATATGGCAGAAAACCCAATTAAAAGGCTGCACAAGACAAGGGGCCAGGAACAAGAGGCTCCAACAAAAGGCGGCAGCGGCGGCGGCGGCAGCATCAAATAATTCCTGGTCTGTGGCCCGACAAGTTTAATCTCTTTGCCCGATGCAGGCAGCTGTGCTCAGTCGACTCGACTTGAATTTGGCTTGCTCTGGCTTGGTCTGGCTTGGCTAGGTCTTGGCCTGGAGATGGGGGTGGTAATGACCCCTCGGGGTATGCAATATATTTTTGAAAGGGATAAAACGGAAAGAAATTACCACACTGCGAGTTTTCTTCTCAAAGCTTTGTAATTATATTTATTAACAAATTCTCTTTACCTATTGAATTTGATTTTTAAATTGAGGCCTTTCTTTAATTAAGGGTATTTTTAAGGTTATTTTATTGATACGATGCTAATGCCAATAGGTTTTTAGTACAAAAAGTCTTCTGGATTTTACGTACTTTCTGAAAACAAAACTTACTGACAGATTCTTATGAGTATATATTGTCAGAGTATATTTAAGAACCCTAAGGATTTTCAATGAATTCTTTTCTATGCCATTTATGATTTATTAAACTCAAACTTACACAAGCTATGAAATAACTACTTTCTGTTCTATAAACTTATAAATTGAAAACAAAAACCTGCACATCGAAGAAATGTAAGTTTTAATAGGACTACGTAACAGTCTATACAATAGTCGGTAGTACTCCGTTTATATAAGCAAATAAACACATAATAAGTTAACCATTTATTTCCCTGTAGCCACACGTCTCATTCTTGTTTTTATTATTTCATTGCAGAGAGTGTCACTAATTGAATGCTTATTGCTGCCTGGTAAGTTTATTGAACACGTTCAGGGGTGGGGAAAGGGGTTGGGAAGGGTGTGTTAACAACATGTGGGTTAGTGGTTCAAGCGGGCCAACAAATACTTGGTCAAGTGCTTAGTAAATGCTGGCAATACTTTTATGGGCCAGAAAAGAAAAGAGAAGAAAAGCTTTTAGTGAAAGTGGATGGGATGGCAATATGGAAATGCCAACTTGAACTTTGATCAATATCAGCGAAGTTGCCGCACCCAAACCTCCCCTTTTCTCTCTCTATTACTTTGGGTCATAAAGTGCGAGAAGAAAGAACTAATCGCTGGTCAACCATAAAGGGGGTAAAAGGAGGAAAGGGGGCTAAAGGGTAGTGGTGGAAAGGGGGTAAAGGGCAGTAGTGGGGCTGGTAAAAAGTTATGGCCGCTATATAAAAAGGAAAAGGGCATGTCGCTGGATACGAATAAAGAAGAGTGGATGGTCACACCACACATGTGGCTTTTGTTGCAGTTTCGTGTGACATCTTAAGTGCACATGGCTGCAGGTCGCTGCTTCTCCGGATCCGGATCCGGCGGATGTTAAGCCACCGCTTACCGGACTCCTCTTTTACGGCTGCAATTTGCCAAAGACAAAAGCCATCGGAAATCTTTCCCACTGGGTTTGCTCCTCCCTGTTTTTTTCTTTTCATGGTTTACGGCAGCGGGGAGTTTACAATGTAACATTCTGCGGAGCAAAGTATTCATAAAGATTTGATGGAGACAAGGAAGCTCCGGATTAGCTGGTACTATATGCTAGAAGAGAGCGCTTAAAAAGGTTTTAAAATGTCGAGAGAACAGTGTAAATGTAAATAAGAGACTAAGACAGACTCAAGTACTTGATTGAATTAAAACTCCTTACAAACTAAAACCCAAAACTGTGGCTGTTTTAAGGTATTTATTAATTCCTTTTTTTTGGTTTCAAGCTTAGGCTTAGCTAATAGGCTTATTTAGTATAAAAAAACGGATAAAAAACATTTAGGTAAACTAACCTCAAGAAGAATATATAAGAAGCTTTACCTTAGAGTTCTAATATTCTGTGCAATATCTTTAAAACTGACCATCTCTTGTTTATTTATCATTTCTATTCGTTAATCCACAAATGAATCTTGTAAGAGGTTTCATTTTAAGCTCTTTGAAATTGTTCTCGATGCGATTAAGTTTTGATGCGGAGCAATAGACTCCAATTAAGAGGGAAAATTCCGTGAAGTATAAACCGAACATCATTGAATTGCTCCATCATTCAACTAGTTTTTCCATTTTGATCTCCTTTCGTTTTGTTTTCTCCAGCGAACCGTGTTCGCCCAGCTTCTTGTGTTCCGTCTTCCCTCTTGTACGTAAATACTTGGCCCTGGTCCTGGCCTGGACTTGTATGACAAAAGTAGCTTAACTTGTTTTTCCTTTTTTATTATTTCATTTTTTTTTTACTTCCGAAGAAGATTTATCGATGGCCGTGCCAACTCATACATAAACTGTTCGAGGGAGCACGTCCCTTTGCCATAAAAATACGAATATGAGCGAAATATTCTGGCATGAATAAAAAAGGAGGAAAATGCACAAGGAAGGTGGCTTGCTTACGATATTCCACTTGATTTGAGACCATGTTGGGTCTTACACATGTAGAAAAATATCAATTCCAAAGGGATAACAACTTGTCAAGAAGAAATATTGAAAATATAAAACATTATTTCGAAGAGTCGTTTCTAGTTCCACTTCTCGTTCTGTAAGCTCGCCAAAAAGAATGCAAAGGGTTTTGTTTTTTCCAAGAATTCCCAAAAAGTTAATTAACCAATCAAATAAGTTATCCTAGTTAATATAAAACGATTCAACCGAATTTCCTCACGCAAATCGACTGAAATGTAAAATGAAACCCGAAAGTCCTTTGAGAATTTGAGAAATTCGCCTGCGTTAATTGGTGGGCGTGGCCAGGTGGTGGTCCGAAATTGAAATTGAAACTGGCGCTGATTATCTGGTCGACCGCTGCTGGAACACGTTCGCTTGCCACCCACTTGGCGTGAGTTGGGGCAATAAAAACTTATTAAGCGATGCTGGGGACGCAGGACTCGCTCGCCACTTTGCCATAAAACCGACGGGACAACATAAGGGGCGGGGAACCCAAGTGAAAAGGGCACAGAACAAGGATGAGAGGGCCAAAAGAATAAATGGAGAAACATTTGGCAGAAATGTGTCGTTGCCTTGGGGCAGGACCGTAATAAAAACGGGCGAATAAAACGAAATAAAAATATAAAAAATGCGCATACGCCGCATTGGCTTCGTCTGCCTTATAATAGACATTAATAATATATCGCTGCTTCCGCTTCCGATCCAGACTCCAGACTCCAGACTCCTTCTCATCCAATTCCAGTGGCAAGTGCGATAAACCGTTTAGCAACATCCGGCAACCAGAGAGAGGGAGAGACATGGAATACAGCAGAGAAAGAGAGTGCGGAAATAGTGTGGAACACAGTTCTTGGGAAACTGATGCCATGATTGTCATGAGCTCTCTCTTTATCTCGGGAAATTTACATACTAATTCGATTCATTACTGGCCCCTGGCTGGGATCTTAATTGAGGTAATCAATGCATCTGTAAGCTGATTTAGTTCGAGTGGTTTCTTTGGCCCCAAATCGGCTTAAATTTCAATGCAGCTGCCGCAGTTTGCTTTTCATTTTCCCATTCACCATTCACCATTCACCATTTCCCGTTTCCCACTTTGCATTTTCCAGCTGGCACTCCTTGAACTCCCATCGAATTCAATAACAAGAAATATATAAGAAATATACGCAAATATTTTGCAATAAGATATCTGCCCATGTGCACACACAAAGGCATCAAAAAGTATTGGGAAAACTTCGGCGACGGCGACGGCGTATAACACAGCCACCGCCTTCCATTTTCCTTCGGCCAACTTCTTGCAGTGCCATCTGCGGAAAAGTTTATTGCGATAAATGAAAATAGGAAGCGCACAACGAACAGCTACAACAAGATGTTGAAATAAGTTGTCAAGCCAACGCATCCGGTTGTTTTTTTTTTTTTTTTTCTTTACTTTTATTTCATTTTTTTCTTGTTTTCTGGGCGTGTATAGTTTTCCACTTGTCTGACTGCGGCGGCTGTCGACGATAAGCGCACGGCATTGATAAACATCCCCATTCTCTGTGACTCTGCAACTCTATTTCCTTCCCCCGGCTTCTCCCTCTGCTATACTACCCACTGAGGTGAGGATGAAGTGGATGTCAGCTAGCGACAATAGCTATGCCGTGCCCACAATCGGTTGGCTTGACAAAACGACTGGCCCACGTAAATTTGCTCGGAAAATGTAATACACTTGGAAAGAAAATTAAGCGGTTGATGCTGTATTTGAGTCTCAAGAAGAAAATACACAGCGAGCTAAGAAGTTTAAGAACTTAAATTGGAATATGATAGAAATGGTCGCTTAAGGCTTCAGTGACTTTGGAAGTTTATAAAGTGAAATGTTTCGGATATAAGCATTAGGGTACTTTACTATATTTGATAAACATCTAATAAATAGTTATAGTCTATCGTTTTAGAACTCGCTAAGAATGAGATTCAGTGAAGTAGATGACGTACCTAACATAATTAGAAACTATGATCTCCAGGAACTAAAAAGGCTGTCTGCTATTTTAGTGGGATATTAAACTTTAAACGTAACATTCGGGTTTGACCTAATAATCATTTTGTTTTTTTCAAGACCCAAAAAAGCCCCTTTTAAAGCCAAAAACCTTGGAATAAATAGTTACGGCTTAGCTCTTTTAAAAGCCATCAACCCCAACCCCCTAACAGAAAGACTTTCTTGATGTTATCATTTAACCATATTGGCATTTTTAAGATTTATAGCTTTAAACCAACACCAATCCCGCATTTCCCAAACACCCTTCATGTGTAATTCCAGATAATGCAAATTTTTATTAAAATACGATTATCATATCACAGTCATAAGGAAGAGATATGGGAATGATTTCTTACTCCCTTTCCATAAACTCCTCCTTTCCTTTTTTCACTGCATGGCAATCGCTCAATTCTTAAGGTTGAGGTCCTAGTCGTTGATTTTCCGAAACTCTGCAGGCGGCAGGCTGGCAAAGAGTGGCGGGGGAAATGGGGAAAACGGAGAGGGCGGGTAAAATGTGGCGGCGACTGTCAGTGGGACACTTGGCTGTCAATGGCAGTTGAGTTACGACAAAGGGAAAAATTGCATGGCAGCGGAGCTTCCTTCGGTTTCCATGGCTTGTGGAATTTTTCACGCGTCACCTGTGGCAGATAGTGCTGCTCCACCATCTTTCTCCCAGCGGGAAGTCTTTAGAGCCATGGCCTAGGCCTATCGAGGAGGAGGAGGAGGTGCCAGGTTGAATGAACTTCCCACGCTGTAATCGATGTGCTTTTTTGTGTGCGTGTGCTGTTTCCATTGTTCGGGATATCAGATACATATATCCTCCTGACACCGATGGCATCTGCCAGGATAAGCCTGCCTGAAGAAGAGGCAGCTGGATAGGCCCAGTCGCTTGACGTTCATTTGATAACATTTTATTAGCATCAGACGACGGGACGGCGGTTATCTCATGGCTGCACTTCACATTTCCGCAGGCAGACAGATGGCAAAACTACAATGATTGTCAGTCACAATAAACAGCAAACAGTTGCCGTGTCCATTAGTTTGCAGCGAATACAGGAGTATAGGATATATCGGACCGATTCTGTCAGGTGCAAAGCCCTTTTCTAGCTGCTCTCTACGTGGCTGCGGCTAGTCACGTCTACCACTCGTATTTATGAATGACACTCCTCTGTTACGAGTGGAAGGTAAAGGGATTTTACCATGTTCGAGTCCTGTATGTACAGGATAATGCGCTGCAATGGCTCTCATTCGGATTACTCCACCCTTGCAAGTTGATATGGCAATTGAATTCGCTTTTCAACTTGCCAGTTCCTCTGCTGTGGGAACCAGTTATTGGAGGTTTTGTTAGGTTTGCAGTAT